CTGTGATGGTGACTGTGATGGTGACTGTGATGGTGGTGGTGGTGTCGGTGATGGTGACTGTGATGGTGGTGATGGTGGTGATGGTGGTGATGGTGGTGATGGTGATGGTGGTGATGGTGGTGATGGTGACTGTGATGGTGGTGATGGTGGTGATGGTGGTGGTGATGGTGATCAGAACGGCGAAAGAGAAGCGGGAAACATATGAAACCGATGACCTCATGTTGTATGGTGGCGATGGTGGTGATGGTATTGATGAAGATGGTGATGGTGCTCATGATAGTGATGATGATGATGGTGATCATAATGGTGATGGTGATGACGGTGTTGATGGTGATCATGATGATAGTGATCGTAATGCTGATGGTGCTGATGGTGCTGATGGTGCTGATGGTGCTGATGATGCTGATGGTGATGGTGCTGGTGATGGTGATAAGAACGACGAAAAAGAAGCGGAAAAAAAAACAGGAAACCGACGACTCCACGTTGTTGACCGTTTTCTGTCAATGAACTCATCATCGTAATTCCGACGCAGAGCTCATGAGCATTTGATGTTGATCTCAACAAACCCCCGTGCGCGCGCATTACGAAAGAGGAAAGAGATGCGACCGGACTTGCAACATCCCCACCACTAGAATGGAGAGTAAAAAAAAACAAAAACAAAAAAAACAAAAAAACAATAAAAAACAATTACAGATATGATAGCAATAGAGTGGCGGTCGGGAGGACCGATCACACTCCAAAAGTGAAGAGAGACGACAGCAAAGCAGCCCATTAAAAAAAAGAAAAGAAAAAGAAAGGTAGATGAAAGAGTAAAAGCGCGCCAATAATGCGCGACCAAAGATGCAGTAAACAAAAAAAAAAACGAAAAAAAAAATGAAGGGGTAATTTTAATACAGTCACAAAAACGTGGAGTTATACTAATTGCACTGTGGGCCAAGATACAGATTGCAATTGCACTTCGGGCACCCTACACCTGGCCAGAAAGCTGGGTTGTATACATTGCGCCAACTGGAATTGCAAACTGTATCTTGGCCCAGACTGCAATTAGTATAACTCGTTTTTGTGACTCGACTCAAGTTACCCCAAAAAAGAAAGAAATGAAGACAAAAAGATGAACTACCCCACTAGCATCTCTCTGCCCTGTACCTCTCGCCATCTCTTCCTCCCTCACTCGTCCCGTTCTCTTGCTACTCCCCCCCC